AAAGATTTATCATCTTTGTCTCTAAGAAGCACTCTGGTTGCATTTTCTCCAAGATATATCTGTTTGTTCTCTTGGCAGTCCATGGAATATTCAGTACTTTTCTCCAGCACCACATTTCAAAGGCATCAATTATTTTTCTGTCTTCCTTCTGTCCAGGTCTCAGATGCATAGCAAGTGACTGAAAAGACCATGGCCTGAATCAGATGCACCTTAGTTCTCAAACTGACATTGTTGCCCTTTAACAATTTGGAAAGGTCCCAGACTAAAAACTTTTCCAGTGCAATACGTCTCCTGATCTCCTGACTGCTGATACCAAGGGTACACAACTAAGAAATGGTACAAAGCTCTTAGTTATGCGAGTTATATATTGATAATTTTTTTCTTCCCTGTCTTTGTAGTGACCTTTTTGCTTTCTTCATGGATGATGACCATGGTGTCATTCCACAGCTCATCTGGTCTTTGGTCATTTGTATTTAATGCATCAAGTCTATTAAGATGTATTTTAAATTCAGATTGGATATACTCAAGGTCATATTTTAGTCCTTGTTCATTTGTTTTCCCTTCCTTCAACTTCACTTTGACCTTGAATATTAGTAGTTGATCTACTCCACAATCCTGAAATTGTTCTGAGTTCTGAGTGCTGATACTGAGCTACCCCAATGTCTCTTTTCATAGATGTAGTTAAGCTGATTCTTGTGTTCATTAGGTGAAGTCCATGTATAGTCACCATTTATGGTGTTTTTTAAAAAGTACTTGTGATGAATAAATCATTCATTATACAAAATCTATCATGCAATCTTTAGCCTCATTCCTGTCACCAGGGCCAAATGACAAACTGAAAAGGAATAGTGTGGCATCATTATCAAAATGATCACTTCAAGATTTATCCTGAGTACAATGCTGTGAGCGAGAGAAGATTATCCATACACATACAAGGAAGGTCTGTTAATACAGCCATTCTTCAAATATATATACCAACCACGAAAGCCAAAGATTATCAACTTTTACAGTCTAATATTGATCAAACATGAAATCAAGATGCACTGATATTGATAACAGGAATGCAAAACCTGGAAACAAAGAATTCTTTGGTCTTCCTTATTCATCGCCATTTTCCACATACTTCTGAGGTACTTGAAAATAGAAGGGCTTAGATTAGTCAGGTGTGCCTTACTCCTCAAAATGACAGCTTTTTTTTTAATATCTTAAATCTTTTGCAGAATATTTTCTCAAAGCAACACAGTTTTTTTGTATTTTTGACAGCTGCTTCCATGGGCACTGATTTGTAGATCCAAGCTATATGAAGTATTTGACAATTTCAATCTTTCCCTCCTTTCTTCTGATGCTGTTCATTGGTCCAGTGGGGGGCTTTTTGTTTTACTCATGTTTATGTGTAATCCACACTGAAAGCAGTTTGTTTTTTTTTGTTTTGTTTTTACAGTATTATTCAGTTGAAAGCAGTTTTTGATCTTCATCAGCAAGTGCTTCAAGTCTTCTTCACTTTACTGCTTACCACAGGTTATACTGAGTCTCTCGCCAATACTGGTGCTGTGCTCTTCTTCATATAATCTAGCTTCTGGGATTATTTTCCCTATTAAATGTTAGATGCTTGCTAAAACATCTGAATACTCAATTGATGTTTATTGCTAGATTGAATTTCTAGGGAAGCAATGTCCTTTCTTCCAAAATGGCAAGTATCTCGTGCTCAGTCAGAATAACCAATAAATGATCATCATCTATTGCTTACGTTTACTAGCAACTACAGAAATTTTTCCTTTTTCAAGTTGCTAGATAACAGTCTGGAAATCTGGAGGACAACCACTTTGCCAACTGTCTTGAAGAGATCCCTATTTGTTCCCATTCCAGAAAAAGTTGACCTGACAGAGTGTGGAAATTATTGAACAATGTCATTAATATCACATGCAAACAAGATCCTGCTGAAAATGATCCAAAAATGACTGGAACAGCACATCACAGAGAATTACCAGATGCGCAGAATGGTTTGAGAAGAGGCCGTGGCACTAGGTATATTATAGCCAATGTTAGGAGCATCTTGACTGAAAGCAGAGAGTACAAGAGGAATGTCTATCTGTTTCATTGATTATGCAAAGGCATTTGACTACATGAATCACAAAAACTGTGGCTAACTCTGAAAAGAATGAGAATCCTAGAACACTTGATTGTGTTTATGCAAAACCTACCCTTGGACCAGAAGGCAGTCATCAGAACAGAGCAAGGAAACACTGTATGATTCAAAATCAGGAAAGTTGTATGCCAGGTATGCATCTTATCCCCATTATGTTTTCAACTGATACATGAAGCAGAGCATCCAGGAGGCTGGGCTCTATGAGAAGGAATGGGGCATCAGGATTGGAGGAAGACTTATCAACCACCTGCATTATGCAGATGACACAACTTTGCTTGTTGAAACTAAGGAGGACCTGAGGCATTTGTTGTAGAAGGTCAAGCAAGGACTACAGCCTTGAATGTGGACCAAAGCTCAACATCAAGAAAACAGATTATCCACTGGGCCAATAGGCAGCATCATGATACATGGGTGAAGAGACTGAGACTGTTAACAGCTTCAGCTTGCTTGGCTCCATAATTAATACTCGTGGAACCAGCAGTCAGGAAATCAAAAGATGAATTGCATTGCAAAAATCTGCTGTCATGGATCTCTCCAGAGTGCTGAAGAGCAACGATGCAGTTTGGAGACTCAAGTGTGCATGATACAAGTGATGGTCTTCGCAATTACTTGCTATGCATCAGAGAGCTTGGACAATGACTAAGGATGATAGGAGAATCATCAATACCTTTGAGCTGTGCTGGAGAAGAATACTGAATATACCATGAACCACTAAGAGAACAAAACAGGTTTATCCTAGAGAGGGTGAAATCAGACTGCTCCTTGGAGGCAAGGATTTTGAAGCTCCATCTCACATACTTTGCGCATGCTACAAAGAGGGAGCAGTCCTTGGAGAGGGACATTGAGGGAAGTCGAATATCAAATTTAATAATAGTAGACCAAATGCTGGAAATGAGGGAAGCTTGATACAAACTGAAGGCCACCTTGTGGCAATGGGGCATTCCCTAGGAGTTAACATTGTTCTTAGTTTGTGTCAAATGAACCCCTCCCTCTTGAGATTAGCATAAAGAGGAACTTGGCCTTATCTGTAAAAGACTTCACCATTATCCTTTGTTTTGTACTTCCTTGTGATTTTACTTTTATTATCTTATGATTCTAAATAAATACTCAGAGAAGCATGGCTTGAGGTCTTCAGTCGAGAACTGCTGACCCTCTGTTTTACGCTCTCTGCTCTATCTCATTCCTGGCTGTTTGTCTCTTTATTAATAATTATAAAATTATTCTATTCTTTGGGACCCTCGGTCTGCAACAGACATCATGCTTGAAAGGGTGGAGGGACAGTGCAGAAGAGGAAGACCATCAATGAGATGAATTGACTCAGTGACTGGAGTAATGGGTGTAGGTATGTCAGAGACAATGAAGTCGGCTCAAGATAGAGCTGGGTTCAGGGCTGTTGTACATAGGTTCACTATGAGTCTCAAGCGACTCAATGGCACATAACAACAACAAAGAGAAGTATACATGTTTAAGTTTTTCATGAGGAAAAGTAAGGCATTAATCCTCAGACACTGTCGTGTACCATCAAGTCGGAAGCAACCCGTAGCAAACCTTCCAGGTTTTCAAAGGCAGTTAATCGCACAAGAGGAGACTACCCATCCTTTTTCCAAGGAGCAGCTATTGGATTCGAACTGCATGCCAGATATAAAAATGACAAAATATCAATCCAAGTTTTTGCTATGGGATTAACTGGTTTTGTTCTTAAGGCAGGATGACATTTTCAATATGAACTTCTCTAATAGTGACCCCAGGTAGAAGTCCCAAGTAGATGTGAGGATACTGGGACTCCTCTGCACTGCAACCACAGATTCACACACAGCAACCAAATCTTCCCCTCTTTTTTCACCTCAGGTTTTTCCAAAGGGGTCTATAGCTCTGAGACACAACATAATGGATTTCTCTGAAAACTTTGTAAAAGCTATGGACTTTCTCCAGAAACATATATATACATTCACATCTTCAAAATTCTGTAAAGTATTTATGGACTCCCTAAATCATTATTGGAACCTTAGATAAAAGTCTTGGATTTTTAACAAATAACTCACTTATGAGAAATGAGAGGAGACAAAACTCTTCTCTCTATTGCCAGTAAATGCCATAACCATGTATTTTAAACCATATATTAACCAGGAAATGCCAGTAAATGCCTCTTAGCTACTAAGAGAAACCAGTCCTCTGGACAGAACTCTACCCATAACTCCACTACTTATGCTTAGATCTTCTTTTTATTAATTATTTTCATTTCTTTTTTTAATCTTATTATTTTTGTGTGTATACCACTGAATCTGACGCAACTGGGACAGAAGAGATTGCTCCTCCTTTTCCAGCAGAGCATCTGGTAGATTCAAACCCTGCACCTTCGGAATTGCAGTGTAGTTTCTTGCCACTAGGCCACCAGAGCTCCCTTGCGCTTAGATCTTCTTGCCCCTTACACAGACATAGCTGTTCTTAGAAATGGAGAGGCAGTCATTTATGGCACCACTTGAAGATGTGCAATACAGTGCATTTGCATGTGTGTGTGGTGTTGACCTTTCCCATACCTGAAGACATAAAACTGCAGTCATCATGGAAGGCCAGCCAGGTTAGTGCAGAGGTGAATCATAGCACATTCCCTGATCACTCGGATCATGGATACCCAGGGATCGGCTGGCTCAGGTTTCTTCACTCAGCAAGGATTAAGGAGCAAGGATTGCTGGTTCTTTCACTTAGTATGGTGTCTATAGTCAAGACACAGCTTACACTTTCTCTAAAAATGTAAGCTCCTGGCTGAGAGAAGAATACCAACTGAAGCCAAGGGCGAGGTGCATGCTCCTTGTTCAGTGCTCACATCCCCTGCAGCTGCAGAAAGACACCTTACCTGTCTGAGAGCTGCCCCGAGATGAAGGAGCCCACCAGCACACCCACGAAAAACAAGGAGATGGTGAGCGGGGCTTTCCAGTCGTCCTCACACACCAGGTTCCACTGTAAGAGAAGCAAAGGGATGTATCACTTATTTCTTTTTTTAACTGTTTTACATGTGAAGGCTTCATGGAAAATCAGAGAATACCCTGCACCCCTGCATTTTCTCTTTGCATTATAGTGCAGATACGTAAGTTCATCTAGTTGGCAGCTCCGCTGGGTGGCCAGGCTTCCCTCTCACCAGGAGAGTGGACTCCCCGCCTCATCCTGTTTTTCATAGCTTATGCCCCTGTGTCTTCTCTCCGTTTTGAGGAGGAGAGCCTTGCGGGAAGTGCTGCACACACGCCAACACTAAGAGAAAGGCACTGTCTCTCATGCTTGCTTCCAAGACTCTGGGCAGTTCCCAGTGCTGTGGCTGAGGCAGGGCTCCCTCGTGCAGCGGGGCTCAGGCCTTGGGCATGTAAGTCGTGGGAGTGACTCTGGAGCAGGGCCAGCTAAGTGAGGGTACATTGTCTACACCTGCTCTTTCAGCTCTTCTTGGTCCTGAGTCTTTCTGGTGACATACTGAATTACAACGACTGACTCTGCAAACACACACTCAAATCTGAGCCAGGAGTTAGCAAACTGGCTTCTAGCTTCTATTCTACTGTTAACTGGCTGTCCAAACTCAAAACACATTCCCCCTCCCACTTCAGTGATTTAAAATCTTATTTGTAAAACAGGAGTGGAGAACATGAACATGGGGTAGAGAAGAGGGTGTGGTGCACTGGTTTCCCAGCACCCAGTATGTGGTCCCATCTTTAGTTACCATGAAAAGGAAAAGAATCTGTGGGCCTGGAATAGGCCCATAAGAGAAGCAGCTGGATACTTAGACATTAGACTCGTCACGCCTCATATGGAGCCAAAAGAAGAAAGAAAATCTGAAACAGGAAACTGTTGTTCTCAGAAGAAAAAAAAAGCTTCTCAGAACAGGGCGATGGTGCTTAGTGGCAACTAAGCAGCTCTACAGACTTTTCACATGAACAGTCACCATACAGGGACTCTATACCCCTACCCGCACCCTGAGACCTGGCTGTCATTTTTCCTCCTTTGGACCTACTGCTGTGCAAGTAACCAACAGAGACATGGAGATTGGGTGACTCCTGGAACAGGGCATCTCTTCTTGGCCATTGGTGTAGGGGAAAGCATGTCTACTTGAGCGCCCTGCTGTGGCAGTGTGCACACATAACCTTCAGGAACCTCCGGGTGGTGGGCAGAGGGTCACACAGCATGAAGAACCTCACCCCCAAATCCAGAAGCAGCCCAGACTACCAGGAGTCAAGAGTACACTGTCCAGAGTGTTCTGCAACAGCAACCAGCCACCAGGGGTCTATCAGCCTTACTCTGGGCTCCACCACCACCAACCACAGCATTCTATCTCATTTCTCTGGTAAGTAGGGGAGTCCTACAGGGGAAGCCTCAATGTAGACAGGGCTGCAAAATCCAGGAAGAGGAGTGTCAGGATAGAAAAGGCCGGAGGAACGCACTGATAGGACTCTGGGAATCTCTTTCCTCATCACACCTCAGTGAGCTGGTCTGTGGGTGTTAAGGATGTCAGACCAGAATACGGTCACACTTTCATATGACAGGAACTATTTCACAGCCAGCATGCATTACTATTGCAGCAACAAAGATGGGTAGGGGATTAATAAAGAGGTAGCAGCTGCTTCTCAATAGCTCTATTGTGTGGGTTGAAATGGATACAGCTGCACTAAAACAAATTCAGTAAGGCTTCTGCAGTGAATTCTGAGGTTGTAGCTTCCCCACTCCAGCTAAGGTCCTCAACACCAGCCTTTTACAGACTCATGGGCTGGTAAGGCCAGAAGCTACCTTGAAATACATCAGGCTATGCTCGGTGTGGGGGTGTAGGGGGCAGGATCACTGAAGTGCTCATCTTGGGCTACCTCCCAGGGTCCATCCAGCACCCTTACCTCCTCCACTCCCTCCAGCCTGTCCTTCTGTGTAAATCTGATGAGGTGAGGAGGAACTGTACCCTCTATCCACCACTCTTTGACTGTTCCAAGACCCTAGCTTTGGGGCCTCCAAAAACAAGCACACTTAATGCTGCTTCTCTATCAATGTAGAAAGTGGAAAGTGAGTGGGATTAAGAAAATGAGAGGCCTCAAGACTAAACTAAACAAGGCGTGATATAGCTCTGTATCCAGCTGACCCACCCTTTCATCTGTCAACCACCAGATGGACTGTACTGGGCTCTGGGACTTCCCCCGAGTCCTCCTGAGGAGGGGTGGGATGAGAAGCTCACAGAGCTGAGACTACGTATGCCCTGCTGAATATGTCTATACAAGCATCTAACATTCCTACCAACCTGCTATCCCAGCCATGACAGGAGGAGTTACAAACCAACTCACCACACGTGGCAGGTGAGACGAACTGTCTGGGCTAATAACATGTGCCCATGCTGAGAGTGAATGTTTGGGTTACAAGTTCAGGTCACAAGCTATTACCCATCAGCTGGGTAAGCTGTGAAGACCAAAACCCAAACCAGTTGGTGCTGAGTCAATTCCAACTCACAGCCACTCCATGCTTTAGGACAGACATGTGCTCCACAGCGATTTTCAATGACTGAGGTTTTAGAATCAACTCAACCACAACTGTGTGTTTGTGTGTGTGTGTGTGTGTGTGTGTGTGTAAGAGAGAGAGAGAAAAAGAGAGCGAGAGAGAGCGAAAGAGAGAGAGAAAGAAATTGAGATTAAAAGATTACCTGGCCTTTATTCTGACATGTCTCTGGGTAGATATGTACTGTTAGCCTTTCAATTAGTTGTGTGCTTTATGTTGATGTCACCCAGAGACTTCTGATGTGAATGCAGATCCCATCTAACAATCCTGGGATCAACTCTGGCAGGGGACCTGGTCTTGCCATTCAGAAATCTGCCCCTCTAGTGGAGATGGTTTCCATGGTGTCTATCTGGTAGCCTAGTAGGTAAAGAGCTGTGCTGCCAACCCAAAGGCCCAAAGTTTGAATCCACCAGCTCCTCCACAGGAGAAAGATGGGCAATCTCCTCAACCTCTGAAAACCTACTGAAAGGTCAGGTAGGAGTCAACGGCATGAGTTGTTGCTGTTATTGATATATGTCAAAGCTTTTAAAATTGTATACTTCAAGTATGTATCACTTATTTTATGCTTTTCATCTCAATAAAGTTGTTAAAAGCATTTATAAAATAGAGAGAATGCACCTCTTGCATTCAGTGTACAATTAGCTTTACACCTTAATTATAGGAAATGGAGAGATGACCCTGGGACTAAATGTTCTGATCTGAGTTGGCTGAAAGGGAAGCCAGGGTCAGTGTCCACAAGGAAGAGGTTTTTCCCTGAGGTGAACCTTGCCTAGCTTCTGTTGCTGTTATTGGGCGTTGAGATAGAACTGACTCATAGCTGACCCTCTGGCAGCTTTTGAGAGGCTCAAGGGGCACCCACTTCCTAAACACCACGCCTCTGGAAATGCTATGAACTTTGATAAAAGTCAATAGTTGTAGAGGGGTTGCTATGAGTCGTGCTCAACTGGACAATAATCAACAACAACAACAAACTGACCTAGTGACAAGAAGCTGTGCTGTGGTCCCTAAGGCATGCAGTTCAAATACACTAGCTGTTTTCTGGGGAAAATATGGGCAATCTCCTCCTGTGCAATTAACTGCCTGCTGGAGGGTCAGCTATGGGTCAGTTCAGACTCAATGGTACACAACAACAACCCTTTGGCTGTGACAACTGTCATACTCGTAGCCCAGGGTGTCAGTTCCAGGCTCGCTGGAATGGGGCTCATTCTGCTCGCTGATGACCAGACAGGTCTGCTATGACCACGTGTGCATGAGGGCTTTAAGAACCTAGCAAGTGGCTCCCCTGGCTTGTCACGCAGCTATGAAAGCAGGAATGAGGATAGGTGCTTCCCCGAGAAAAGTCAGAAGTAGCAATAATGTACAAGTTCCTGGTCTCCTGAGTCTCTCCACCTCAGAGTAAGCTGTGGCCAACCTCCCAGGTTGCTGTGACTCCCCCATTTCCCAAGGCTGTCTATGTACGAGACAAGGCTTATAGTACAGAAAAGGAGAAATTCCAGAACAACCATGAGGAATAAGAATCCTGCCAAGAATCGGGCCAAGGGGCTTTCTGAAAGCAGAGTCAGGCAGGGAGCAAGAGGATGCAGAGGCCTGCTAGTTCTTAGTCGAAGGAATTCCAAGTCCCGATGTTAAAAGGGTTAGAAACTTCTACAGACCTTTCTAGCTGCAGACTGGGCTGGGCTACAGATCAAAAATGTTGTTGTTTGGGAACCAAACTATAGCAGACCCTCTGATGGGGTTTTCAGAGGCAGTTAATCGCATGGGAGGAGATTACCCACCCTCCTGTGGAGCAGCTGGTGGTGGCAATGAACCACCTGCGTGTTGCAGCACTGCCTCTTGCCACTAAGCCACCAGAGCTCAGATCAAAAATAGGTAACCCAGACAACCTGAGAACTCACTCAGGCTACCGGAGGAAGGAGCAGTCCTGGGCTAAGAACAATCAGGGACCAAGAAGCACTGCAGGCTGGGATAGACAGCTAATTACTCAGAGAATCAGGAATGGCTATGGGGCCAGAGGAGACAAAGGAATCCTCGAAGCAAGTGAGCTACAGGGACCAGAGGAAACCAGGCAGTCCTACGCGTGAGCCACCAAACTGTTCTACAATGTGAGGCATAAACCGCTTTCACTTGCTTTTTTCTGTCAATCTCAACTCCATATTCACAGGGTCAAGCTCCAGTCAGTAGGAGAGGGGATCATATTTCTTTCAAAATAATTAAACCAATTCTTTTTACCCAGGTTTTCCATCTATGCATTAAACTGCCCTTCTTTTGTTGTGATTCTGTAGTGAGCATTTCTGCCGAGTCCCTCCCTCTGTACTCAGCATCATGGCAGAAACTGAGGGAGATGCAAAGACGTGTATACATACCCCACACAGTTCCCTACTACACACACATGCTTCAATGGTAACAGGACACCTATGGTTTCAGTCTTCTGCTCAAAACGGTTTAGTAATAACGAAGACCAGAAACTAAAACAGCTGAACTTATATACTGTATGTGCACTGAAACAACTGGGATGGGAAAAATTAAGAACTCAGAGCCCTGGAATGGGAGCCTGGGAAGAGGTAATGTGAAAGAATGGATTATAGCCAGGATTGTGCAGAACTACACATATTCAAAGCGTGCTCTATGGCACGCTGTCATCCTGAAGCCAGGCACTGCTATTTAGATAGCTTTGCAACACACATGCGGCCCATTTCTTTTGAGAGGGAGATTAAGTTTCTAGCCTGACAGCACTCTAACTTTTTTTCCATTCGAATACTCACATTTTACAAATTTGGGTCCACTCAGCTATTGCTTCCTCAGCAATGCCTGAATCAGAAAGGATCCAGTTCAAATAGGAATTGATTACTAGTGTACTTAGAAGCACACCTAAGTTTGTTTTAGGGCAAAGGACAGTCTTGGAAGTGCTTAAGAGGCATGGGACTAGCTGCAGTGTTCAGCAGGCCAGGTCTGGGTTGAAAGAAAACGGGCCTTAGAAAAACAAAGCCAATTAGAATGTTGATACACCATTTTCAACAGTGATTGTTCTAAAAGGAAGAAGCAGCCTCAGAGTTAGGCATTCCATTATCACTAAACAAAAGGCTAACAGTCAGACTAATCTTGCCTCCCTGCAAAGACTGACAACCTTGAAGTAGGTGAAAGGGCACACCAAACCAAACTTGCTGCTTTGGAGCCAATTCTGACTCATAGCCACCCTACAGGACAGAGGAGAACTTCCCCATAAGATTTCCAAGCCTATAATGTTTGTAGGAGCAGGCTGATGTCTTTTTCCTGCAAAGTAACTAGAGTGTTCAAACTGACAAACTTTTGGTTAACCACTGTGACACCAGGGCCGACCGAAAGGGCACACAGCTGAGGCAGCTAAATAAATGGCCTATATATAAACGAGAGGATGCCACTAACAGCAAATAGCTCAAGAACCCCCCTCTACACAGCCAGCTTTTGGGAGCTGAAAGCTACCACTACATCTCTGGGAAAGGCAGGATGAAGCCAGAAAAGCAGGAGTAAAGGATGAGAGTAAGTTGAGGGACCTTCAAGGGTCAGAATAAAATCCAAATAGATGCCAAAAGAGTTCTTTGACTTCCTTGTCCCTACTTTTGCTCAGGCTGCAGGAGCAGATTTTGTAGGGATTCCCATGTCGTGGAGACTAGAGCCCTTTCTGTGGATTCTGCCTGCATCCCTAGGGACAGCTTCTGCGATCACTGGCTTCTGTGAGGGTCACACACTCACCTGGGAAGCAAAGACCCACCGTTTGCATCACCTGAAAGTTCCAATTCCCTATGAACTCCTGGGCCACATACAGTCAGTAGGCTACCTTCACTTCATTCCAGGATCAAACTTATGATTTCTCCCCTTTTTTGTCAAGTAATTATGACACAAAACATGCAGATGAGGTTCCTAGCTTGCTAGAAAATCACATTCTTACTACCATAGATGGAGTTAACTGATCTCAAGTGCTGGGGGTGGGGTGGGGGGCAATCAAATGTCCAAGCACAGAAAACACACATACACAGACAAGTAAATCTCTCTAAGGGAAGTCTTCAGAGCCCCCTGAAAGGATGACTGTCCCCAGAAGCAAGACACCCAGAGACCTCCAGGGCCCCAGTGGCCTCCTTGAGCTCCCAGGAGAGAATTTCAATAAGTACCTCAAGTATGGTTTGATGATGACATATCAGGACCCATGGCACCCTGCCCTTTAGCCTTCAACTCTGCCCTTTGGATGGGCTGAATTTCTTGTAGTTCTAGACCCTGTGTCACCCTTGGGCCTTCACCTCAGTGTACTGCTGCTATAGGAACAGCCCCAACTCACTGGGAGGCCTCCTCCTCCTTCAGGAAATGTTCCCATATTCATAAAGCTGGAGAGGTGGCCCCCTTGTCCTGCCCCAAAGACCTCACCTTCTTCTTATCTTGCTACACAGCATGAAATCCTGTGACTTATCTACTAATCTAAAGAATATGCCAGACATCAAACAGGGCTTGACAGTGACTTTGGGGTGGGGGTGGGACACAAGCCTATCAAGGTGGGAGTCTAGAGTGCGGAGCATCAGTGACTCAGACACAAAGCATGTCCACTTGACTCCAGGAGCATCACATCACATTTTACACATCCAGCTCTATTGACTGTGGGGTTGCCTGGGGACAGACAAAGGCACCCAGAAGGAAAGTCCAAGGGGTGGAGGATTGAGAAAGACTTTCTTCTACTTTCTCTTAAATTGCAGCTCTATGCTTTAACCTTGGTCAATGATTTTGTTTCAGATATTCTAAGAAACACCCCAGGCCAACCGGTCACTCAGAATGAAGAGATCTTCAGGTACATAGATCTTGAAGGACTGATAAATGACTCAGAGCAAAACAAAATAAATTCCTTACAGGGCACAACAGACTGTCCTTTTGGGGTAAGAATGAGTAGTGAAAAAAATAGTAAAAGGCAGAAGAGACAGTTTTATATACGTGTTTTAACTTCAAAAGTTCAGTATAAAGAAAGGTATTTCCCCTCTCTGGACAGATTACAAGATGCTGGAGGAAGAATGTGGCAGCCCAAATCCTGTGACCCATAGGGCTGTCACCCTCATCTAGAGGAAGTCCTCCATCACCTAAGGCCTTGGGCACCTATCGAGCCACCAGAGGCTTGCTGGCTTCCCAAGGGTGCCCAACTGCGGCTAAAGGTCACTTCACAAAGCATTCCCAAGACACCTAGATGAAGGATGTCCATTACCAGGGAGTAGTACTGGAAAAGATGTAGTGACAGCGAGTTGCGTGCACATGGGGTGGGGTTGTGGGTTCAAGGATCAAGAACGTGCCCTCTGCTCCAGCTAAGCCCGGTGGGAAGTGAGGGTGGCACCCACCTCGGTCACGATGGTGGACTGATAGACATCTTGGCTGAACTCCCAGCCGTCCAGGCAGCCCTCCTGCTCCAGCTCGGTCAAGTTCACGTCGCGCCCGGGCACCAGCCCGAGCGCGGACAAGTTGGTGAGCGTCGCCAGCTTGTAGCGGCGGCAGCTGTGGGGCACCTCCCGGCCATCCTGCAGGCGCAGCGGGAGGCTGTGGTTGCGCCATGCGCTGCTCAGGTTGGCAGAGTCCGGCACCCGGCAGTGGTGCTCGGGGGTCGCCGTCAGGAACACGGCTGACAGGCCGTTAAAGCCGTTGGGGATGATGCTGGCGCTGAGCAGGAAGAAGATGAGGCGCTGGAAGGGCCCCCACTCGCCCAAGAAGGCAGTCACCTCGTCGTAGTCTCTCATATTTGGCTCGCCTGCAGGCGCCGCACCGCCAAGGGTCGGGGGACACCGGGGCGCGCAGAGGCGGGGCGCGGCGGCCGCGTGTGCGTGTGCGCTTGCGCGCGGGGTGCCCACCGCAGGACAGATCGCAGGACGGGCCGGGAACTGACGGCGGACTAAGCGGATTCGCGAGGTCCCGCGCCGCAGCTGCCCCCGCCCTCGCACGCCGGCCTTACATAGGGCCCTCGTCTGGGGGCGTGTTCTGAGCTTGGGTCGCCAGGCCCGCCCCGCCGGCCGGCAGTGCGGCGCGGATGGGGCGGGGCCGAGGGCGGAGCCTGGGCCGGGCCTGATGACGAGTGGGCAGGTCCGGCTGCAGCGTGTGCACCTGAGCCTCCTTCGGGGCAACGGACCCCGCTCGCTCGTTGCTGGGATCGACCTACAATGCGGGTAGACCCGGATCAGTTTGGAAAGACAGAATTGTGGCCTCTTTGTGCCAGATTGAGCTCACTGCTTTTGTCCCAAGACAGGGGTGGATAGGTGAGAGGACTGTAAGGCTCAATTTTTAAACATTTTCCAACCTATTAAACTGGAAAGGAAGGGAACTTTCGTGGCGCAGTCAGAAGAGTTGTACTGCTAGTGGATTCTGGAGCTTCGAATCCATTAGTCGCTGAGAGAGAGAGGAGAGGAGGGGAGGGGAGGAGGGAGGGAGGAAGGAAGGGAGAGAGAGGGGAGAGATAGAAAGAGAGAAAGAGAAAAGAGAGAGAGGGAGGGAGAGAGGAAGGAGGGAGGGAGGAAGGGGAGAGGTAAGGAGGGAGAGAGAGAAGGAAGAACCAAAACACTCTGAGAGGAAGAACCTAAAAGGCTCTGAAACTTGTACTAGAACACAGAGAAGAAAAAACAAAAGGAAGAAATGCTGAAGTAAGAGAGCTGAATGAAAGATTTGAAAGGGCAACTTGAGAAGACAAAGTATTATAATGAAATATGAGAAGAACTGGAATCCAAAAAACCAAATGGGAAAATATGCTTGGCATTTCTTAAGCTGAAAGAACTGAAGAACAATCTCAAGTCTTGAGTTGAATACTGAAGGACCCTAGGGCAAAATCTTGAATGATGCAAGAACCATTAAAAATGGAACGAATACACAGTCATTGTGTGAAAAAGAATTAGTCAACACTGAACCATGTCAGAAAATAGCATATGATGAAACATCAATGATAATGAAGAAGTTTAGGCTCCACTGAAGGCACTGGGCAGGGGGGTGGGTGGTGGCGGATAAGGTTCTAGGAATTAATGGAATGCCTCAGTTGAGATATTTCAACAAACAGGTACAGCCATGGACATGATCCCTAGCCTATGCCAACATATTTGTAAGATAGCTACTTGGTCAGCCAACTGTAAGAGATCCATACTTATTTCCATTCAAAAGAAAGTCATCCAACACAGTGTGTAAATTATCAGTTACATTAATAAGCCATGCAAGTAAAATTTTGCTAAAAATGATTCAATAATGGCTGGAGTAGCATATTGTGAGGAAACATAAAGAAATTCAAGCCGGATTCAGAAGAGACAGTGGTATAAGGGATATCACTCAATGTTAGATGGCTGTTGGCTGAAAACATCAGAAGAAGATTGAATCAATTCGTGGAGTCACTGTACAAAAAAAACCAAAACCAAACAAAACCTACAACTGATCAATATTTCAGGAAGCAGCGTTGAGAGAAGATCAGAGGGAGAGAAATACCCATCCAAACACCTGAATTTTTAAGAGGAAGGGCTTTATTCTCCAGCAGAGTGGTGACAAAGACTTTTCTCCACAAGTGACCACATTCCCTGAACCACTTTGTCCTGGACTTTTTACAGGAAGTAGAGAAAGGAACAGTTGGAGAGTTTTCTAGTTGGTGATATCAAAGCATGGGTGTGAGTTTACAGAGTTCTCTCATTGGTAGTTCAGAACATCAGCACAAATTTACAGAAGCAGAAGAGGATGTTAGTCTCTTAGTTTAGGTAAGTTAGGGGGTTGTCTTACCAAGTCACAATCCCTCTGTCTCTTTAGATATGGACAGATTCCTGCTAAGCCTCTCTCATTCCTCAGGCTCCTCTCTTAGTAGTATACAATCAAGAGCATAGAAAAGAGTTTCTATTTATTCAGCACTTTTAGGAGGGAAAGGCAGAGTTATCTTAGAAAAAGAGACTTAAAACTCATTACCAAAAAAACAAACAAACAAAAAAAAAACAAAACACACCTCATTACCATGGAGTTGGAAAGCTGACCCTACAGTGGGTTTTTAGAGGTGGTAAATCACCTCTAGAGGTTGTCAACATTTCTCCCAAGAAGCCTTTGGTAGATCTGAACATTAACCTTTCAGTTAACAGAACAAATCCCTAGTTGGCCACTATGGGAAGCCAAACTTTATACCAAATATTATATGAAAACCCTTGTTCAGCAATTGAAGGAATTACAGATTTAGAAGTTTGGACTTCTCTTGTGACAGATCCTAGAAAATGAGCTGTTTGTTCCCTGCAAGACAGGAGACAGCAAGGAGCCCCCTACAGAGGGAGTGTTACTTCCTGAGCTAGAGTTCACCCTGAGGCAGCAAGGTTAATAGTTAAGGGTAAACCAAATTCTTGCATTTGTGAACCCCTCCTTCCTGAGTCAAGCAGGTTTTCAATAGAAAGAGCTTGGCTTCATTTGCATTTAATTATCTTTGTGATTTACTTCCTGATAATTTTCAATAAAGATACAGAGAAGCTTGACTTG